CTATACCACAGAGCGAGCGAACACCAAGTGACCTCCTGGGCACTCACCTGGAACTTACCAAGAAGGCTGAAGAGTTGGAGGAAGTCCAGCTTCAGCAGCTCAGATTGCTGTTTGGGGATGTCATTGGTGCCGATGTGGATGATGAGCCGGTTGGCCTGTGGGTGGGACGCCAGGATGTTGGGAATTCTGTCCACTATTGAGTCCTCAAGAAGAAGAGGCACTGGTGAGCCTTCTTGACCAGCTTGAAGCAGTTGGTCATCCAGATGAGATCCTCGGAGATGTGGACTCCCAGGAACTTGAAGCTGCTCACACGCTCCACAGCCATCCCCTTAATTTAGATGGGTGGATGTGGGTCAGCATTCCTCCTGTAGTCCACGATGAGCTCCTTGGTGTTCTCGGTGTTGAGCAGCAGGTTGTTTGTGTCACACCACTCAACCAGACAATCCACCTCCTCCCTGTAGGCAGCCTCATCGTTGTCATTGATGAGGTCAATCACCGTGGTGTCATCTGCAAACTTAATGATGGTGTTAGAACCATCGGCAGGTCTGCAGTCATGGGTGAAGAGGGAGTAGAGGAAGGGGCTCATCACACAGCCTTGTGGTACACCGGTGTTCATTGTGATTGTAGATGAGCAGTGGTTATCCAACCGGACATGTTGGGGGCGGTTGGTCAGGAAGTCCAGTAACCATTTACATGTAAGGGAACTGATGCCCAGGTCTGTCAGTTTCCTGTTGAGTTGTGAGGGGTAGATTGTATTGAATGCTGAACCGAAGTCTGTAAACAGCATTCTGGCATAGGTGTTGTTGTTATCCAGGTGTGAGAGGACAGAGTGCAGTGCGATGGAGACTGCATCCTCTGTGCTCCTGTTCTGTCGGTAGGCAAATTGGTGGGGGTCCAGGGTGGGGGGGAGACACGATTTGAAGTGTGCTAGGACCAGCTGCTCTAAGCACTTTGTGACGATGGGGGTGAGGGCTACTGGGCGGTGGTCATTGAGGCTAGATGGGTTGGAGTTTTTGGGTATTGGGATGATGGAGGTGGATTTGAAGCAGGCCGGTACCACAGCGTGGGCCAAGGACAGGTTGAATATGTCTGTCAGCACTCCTGCAAGCTCCCCAGAACACGCTCTGAGAACACGCCCGGGGATCCCATCAGGACCTGCAGCTTTGTGGATATTAATCCTGCTCAGCACCACTCCTACATCGGTGGAGGAGAGAGTCAGGGGTTGGTGGTCTGGTCTCATGTCTGCTTTGGTTGTAGTTTTTGGGTTCCCTTGCTGAAAACGAGCATAAAAGTTGTTGAGCTCGTTGAGGAAGGAGTTCTTCTACCTTCTTTTTGTAATGGTGTTTGGCTTTTTTGATACCCTTCTTTAGCTTAGCCCTTGCTGTACTATAGGTGTGTGCATCTCCTGACCTAAAGGCGGTGTTGCGGGCCGAACATCTCGGTTCATCCAAGGCTTCTGGTTGGGGTACATGGTGATCCGTTTCTGGGTTGTGACACTGTCTGTAGTTTTGGAGATGTAATCCAGTATAGATGAGGCATACTGGTCCAGGTCTGTATGGGTGAACGTATTCCAGTCTGTGTTTTTGAATCTGTCCTGGACCACTGCGTCTGTCCCCTCTGGCCACACTTTAATTGTCCACTTTAAATGAGCCTGTTCACTTCCTGTTTAATAACCAACAGCATGAAGAGGTCTTGTGTGTCTATGTTAAATATTTTTAGTTTTACTCTTCCCCTGTGACATTGTTATGTTCATTTATATCAGCGGTTTCCTCATGTGTTTCCACTTCCGTCATTATCCTCCTGTGTGTATGTAGTCTGTGTTTTCCCATTCAGTCCTTGTCAGGTTGTCTGTTGTTGCTCCTCATGTTTCCATGCCTCCATGATGCCAGAATTTTCCATGTTCAGGTTTTCATCATGTTTAAGGTTTTGTTGGCTTTTGCGTTCAGCATTTAGTTTTCCCAGTTTAGTTCAAGTTAGTTTCTCCCCAGTGTGCATCTGCCTTTTGGTTTTGTACCTTTTTTTATCAGCCTTACTAAACGGCTCGCTTTTTGTTAATTCAAGTTTTGTTCCTTACATTCCTTTGTGTCTGCATTTGGGTCCACTATTCATAATACATACAGTCTGCTTCTGCATACTGTGACAATTTTGTGCTTTTCTGTGCAGGATCAGTTTGATCTCATCACCACATGAAGATATTATCTCAAACAGTTTTCTCATCAGATCAAGACCTCCTGCTGTCTACCAGCTGAGACCAAAGAAACATAACTTTGGAACTCTGACAAGAATGACTGTTGGAGAAGAGCATTCAGGAAAGACAAACAGAACCATCTTACTTTTGGGAGAAACAGGTGGAGGAAAATCTACTCTGATCAATGCTCTAGTCAACTACACCATGGGAGTGAAGTGGGAGGATGAAGTCTGGTTTACGATTGTAGAAGAGAAGAAGAATGTTTATTTACAAAGTCAGACATCAGATGTGATCGTGTACGAGATCTTTGGTTTTGAAGATGAAACTCTGCCCTACTCTCTGACCATCATCGATACTCCTGGATAT